GGCCCGCGGGGCGGCGGCTGCGCCCTCCTGCGGCCGCGCGGCGCGCTCTCGGCTCCCAGGAACTCCGGGCCTCTCCCCTCGGCGGGAGACGCGCCAAACAAAACAGGACCAAAACCCCGAACAACTTGCTTTCATCTTCCTGGATTTTTCTGAAGCATTTCCAAGGAAATTCCGGCTTCACATACTGGATCTGGTTCGTCCAACTGAGGCCGGAGAGAGAACAAAGTTAAAATTGAACCACTTGCTTTTTTCTTCCTTGATTTTTCTGGACAACTTCCATGGAAACCTTCGCCTCATACAGTGGAATGGGGTCATCCAGCTGAGGCCTGAGAAAGAACGAGATTATTAGAAACGCGGAGGGTGGGAGCTGGCAATGCTGTATTTCAGTTCTATTACTTTAAATAAATCAGACTTATCCAGAGTCAACAGGCTAAATTTCAAAGGGGAAAAACCATCTACTTTCTCTGCTGCTTTTCTGAGAATCAGGTCCAAACTTTCTAAACTTTTTCTTCCCCCTCTTCTTGAGCTTGGGTTATTTCGCTGTGGGAAGAGTGGAGAAGCCACAGGTGCGCTATGGGATGGAAGGGGAAACTCGGGCTACTTCTGTCTTAAGGAAGATCGGCCAGTGCATCACGAGGTACGCTTTGAGAAAAAGAGTAAAAGGAAGCATGTAATGTAAACAAAACCCACCCGCACATAGCTATATGGCGAAAGCGAAACAAACATGGATACCCTGCCTGCCTCATCCCCCCGCCCCGAGAAGAGGATGATCAACAAGGACAGTGGTTTGGGCAACGAACATACCTAAAGACACCGGTTGCTAACTTCTCCATCACATCCTTTAAGATGCGTGCTGGAAGGCCTGTTAAGGTGGCAACTGAAGGAGCGAGGTCATAGAAAACCGGCCATGAGAGGCAGGCTGCGAGGCAGGTCGGCCCCCCGCCCTCTACCCCTTTTTAAGTGTGGCACACTCAGAAATTCAAAATTTGAGCTATGGAGCTTCTGTAAACTGTCGTGTTTACCTCTAAAATGGGGGGTTCATTTTAGGGAGGTGGTGACATAACTGAACCTAGACTTCTGAGGCCAAAAGGTGGACCAAGCGGGCTTATGCTCCCCAAGGAGTGGCAAGAGGTGTTCAGTTCAGCACTAGACATGATACTGTTTTAATTACAAATAACTAGTGCTTCTGTCTCTTTAGGTGCACACTTATTTACTAAAGTAGCTACAGATTCAAACTTGGTATGCAAGAAAATTAGGCTGTGTGTGATGTGCTACTAAGCAAATCAGAAAACTGTACAATGTAGAAAATCAGCCATCTAACTGAAATTACAATGTTCAAATTGAGAGTAGGTAGTTGCTAGCCCTGGCAGTGGACCACTCAACTGAAAGCGATCTCTGTGTTACATCACAGGCAGCAACAGGGAGCTGAGCGAGGGGCGTCTGCACGGGGACACAGGAGCCTAGTTTTTTTGTTTTTTTTTAAGATTTATTTATTTGTGCATACAGAACTGGGGTACATGCCAGAGGCTCAGGGGCGGTGAGAGGCTTCACCAGAGACAGAGTGGGGAACAGAACAGGCAGATCGATGAAGTACACTGCTGAGGGGAGCAGCGGGCGGGTCAGGAGAGGTCTGCCGCGCCATGTGGTCGCTTCCGGGACAAGCGGGAATCGAACTCATGAGGAAGCGGCTTTAGATTCTCGGTGCTGTGCTTTAACCCGCTGCGCCACCAGGGAGGGCCAGGAGCCTAGTTTCAGGCTAGTGTTCTCTGCGGTCACCATTCCACGACATTGTTTCTCCAAAAACTGAGTCATGATCAACCTGTAACATCCTGTTCGTTTCAGATGTAAAATGTGATTTTACCTCTATATGTCGTGGGAAACAGCTATGCTAGTATTGGTAACTATAGTGTTGGTGGACATTTACATTGCTTCAAGTTAAAATCAAACTTTCTTTTGGAAAGTAAAAATTTAGTTAATTTTCGAAATTTAGTAGGATAATATCCAGTTAGGAGTACTTTAAACGTATGCATTCACTACATTAAGGGGGCGTTCTGATTCTGACATTCTTTAAAACTCAGCACGCAGTATACTATTGAAATCCTACCACCTGAATGCACCAAACTGTCTGGCTGCGTTCCCAGAGCACCCATCTTTACACACGTCACACATATGTAACCACATACGACAAAAGTGTGACATATGGGGTCATACCAGGGCCTGCAAGCCTCTTTCCTGATGTACAAAGATACTCTGCTTTTTTATCCAATGTATTACACATTTCACTGGACACACTCCCTTTAAAAGGCCCATTTGGGGCCTCCTGGTGGCGCAAGGGGCTAAGTCTCAGCACTATGAAGCTCTCCCAGCCACTGCAGTACAAGTTGGATCCCTGGCCAGGGAGTAACCCACGGGGCGCAGCAGACTTCTTCTGTCTCACCCGCTGCTCCCCTCAGCAGTGGACTTCAGTGGATCTGCCTCTTCTGTTCTCCACTCTGTCTCTGGTGGATTTTTTTACTCTCCCGGTTCTGCCCCCTCCCCTGTGCACCTCTGGCTATACCCCAGCTCGTGCATGGACAAATAAATCTTAAAATGAAAATAAAAGGGCCATCTTACAAACAGTAGGCCCCTTCTGGAGAGGCCTCCCCTTCCTCCTGAAACTATTTTCTATTCTTTTTTTCTTTAAAGAAGATTTATTTATTCACACACAACTGGGGTACAAGCCAGAAGTGCAGGGGTGGTGAGAGGCCCCACCAGAGACAGAGTGGAGAGCAGAACAGGCAGATCAATGAAGTATACTGCTGAGGGGAGCAGTGAGCGCGTCAGGAAAGGTCTGCTGTGCCATGTGGGTCACCTCCAGGGTCGGGGATCGAACTTGCACTGAAGCGGCTGTGGCTAGCTGCAGTGCTGCGTCCTAACCTGCTGCGCCACCAGGGAGGGCTCATTTTCCATTACTTTTACCAAAAGTGGAATGATCGGCTTCAGCCACCAGATCTGTTGCCAAGAAACTTCCACTTAAAAACATTCAAACCTGGCCCTCCCTGGTGGTGCAGCGGGTTAAAACACAGCACTGAGAATCTAAAGTTGCTTCTGCATGAGTTTGATTCCCGCCTGCCCCGGAGGAGACCACATGGCGCGGCAGACCTCTCCTGACCTGCCCGCTGCTCCCCTCAGCAGTGTACTTTGTCCAGCTGCCTGTTCTGCTCCCTACTCTGTCTCTGGTGAAGACTCTCGCCGCCCCTGAGCCTCTGGCCTGTACCCCAGTTCTGTATGCACAAATAAATAAATCTTTAAAAAAAAACCATTCAAACCCATGTTCATTGATGAAGATTTTGTAGCATTAATATTTTTAAAAACACCCCACACAATCCTCCATGCAGGTAAGTACGCTGACATTTTCCGCACAGGGCCTCATGTGGGAGTGATGCAGTCTTTCAAGGTGCTGTGTAATCTCCAAAATCTTCCATGTACCTTATGATCCAGTTCCCACTCAGAAATGGGTGAGACTGCCTGAGTGGGACTCCTCCCGCACATGCTGGCTGTGTTCTCTGCGAAGCCTCTCTGTGCTTCAGTTTCTTCACCTGTAAGTAAGGGTACTTACACCTCAGAGGGTTGTTTTAATCTTTGACTAAATTAACACTTGTCAAGCACCTGGAACACTGTCATTGACATGCTCAGTGAAAGTCAGCTGCCAATTATTATTTATTCATTATTTAAATTATTTTTTTATTTTATGTTATCATTTATATCATTGTTATTAAAGACTAGTGATTGGAGTTCCAGGTAAATTCAACCCAAAACTCAGATCAGTAAGAAAAAAGGATATAAAGATACTTCCCCTGTTGCACATTTGACAAATTCCACACTTCATCATTCAGGAAAGCCACCGACGCCCCCTTGAGGAAAAGGCAGCGGCTATCTGGAGGGTCCAACTTGGGAAGAAGGCACAAAGACTCATCAATTACCGTGAGTTTAACAGTGGAGACTGATTGACTGTACACAAATTGAACATCAGCACACAAACTTTAACGACAATATGTAAACTACAGTATTTTCTAGCTCATTGTCCACAATGCTGAAACTGCCAGGCCAGAAGCAAGGCCCTGCTGGAATCCTGGTGATGGAGTGGCAGCAGGGCACCTGCATGTGACTTCTGGCTGCTACTTACTAGACACCTCCATAAGGATGTCAGAGAATCAGTAAAGACTGGCATATGAAAATGATGGTATTTGCATGTCAACCATGATAAAAATATCTGAATTCTGCTAGCAGTGTAACTTTGGGAGATAAAACATATGCATACATATATAGTACATTCCAATTTGAATCATCAGAAGACTGACTCATGGAGAAATTTTTTGCTAAGAATTTGTCAATAATAATGTTTGTTACTAAGGAAAAAAATCCTTTCTGAAATACTAATAGAAAACTCAGAAGTCAATACTTCCAAAGAACCAGTTCAAACTTGACATTAAAACAAAAAATAAGCTACATTTCGGGGCCCTCTCTGGTGTTGCAACAGGTTAAAGCACAGCACTATGAAGCGATCCACAGCCACGGAAACAAGTTTGATCCCCAGACTGGGAGCTGCCCCAGAGGGCGCGGCAGACCTCTCCCGTCCCGCCCGCTGCTCCCCTCAGCAGTGTATTTCAATCTGCCTCTTCTGCTCCCCACTATGTCTCTGGTGAATCCTCTCACCCCTGCAGCCCAGTTCTTGTATGCATAAATAAGTAAATCTTTTTTTTTTAAAAAGCTACATTTCTTTACAAATAGGTTATTGTTCAGAATTTATGCTAGTTTTGCTGTCTCGTGCCCCCCGCCTTGACATTCTTCTTCATTAATTGTAACCTTCTGATACAGTAATAATGCTTCATTATTTCTGGTAATACCTGCAAGTTTTCTTCTGTTGTTACCCAATGACCTCCAACGCCAAGAAGTGTGATGATATCATGTTTGTGTGGCAGTAGTTGTAATTTTACGGCCGGTTCATCATCTTTACTATATAATCTCACTTATAAGGGAGTGATTTTTAAAAAGAGAGAGAAGAGATATATTTTATAATATCCTGCCAAAATTTATTCTTTAAACAAGTTCTCTTTTTATTCAGGAAGCATTTTCCTTAGTAAAACGCAGCAAAGAGATGATCAGACACCTTAAAATATACTTTTTCTTTTTGCATTAAAATGGGTCTAAAATTTACTCTAGATTTAATATGTGAAATAACTAAAGCTACAACATCTATCTGCACTGGAAAGTCAGGCCAGGGAACGTCACAAGTTAACACATCATACCAACAGTTTAAAACTCTGGGGAAAGCTGACTTCTGATGAAGAAACTCAGACTCGTTAGTCACACGTGGCCACCATTTTAAAATGTCCATTTGATGTGTTAATGCAATCTACATTCATCTCTGCAGAAAGACTTTTTTGAGATAATTTCACATCTTGAAAATACTGGTTGCAAGCAGCATGTGATGGGCACAGCTGGCTCACATAGGACCCTCGCAGAGGGACCCGTCACGTGACGAGGCCTTTGCAGGGCTGCAATCTGCCTTTCAGGCATGATGCATGCCCCATGTGGACAGACGAGACAGCAGATAAACACGAAACCACGAAAGTCCCAGGATAGTGAAAATGAACGTCCACTCTGTGGATGTTTCCCACAGAGTGGCAGCAGGAGTCAGCCCCTCACTGGAGCCACACCAGCAGAATGGCCTGGACGAGTCTGTTGAGGCCTGAGCCTGTCCGTCTGTGAGTCACGGGGGAGACCAGGTGTCTAGCTTTCTCACAGATGCTTAAACTCCACTGCTTAAACCTTACAAGGCAAGCATGGTTTTTAACTCAGATAGTGCTTATAATGGGAACAAAATGAAGAAGCTCCAATTGAACCAGAAAAGTTAAATAGAAAACAAATACCAAGTAATTTAATAAATATGCTAATAATTATTCCTTGGTACGTATTTCCTCCCTCAAATTTTGTCCTTCACACACCAGACTGTAGGCCGCTGCCTTAGTAAAGTACCCACCTCCAGCATCTAGGACAATATCTACTCCCAGGCCGCCTGTTTCTTCTAAACAGCTTTCAGCAACGTGGGCTTTACCACTAGATACATCGATCACTCGGGCTGCAAGGGACAGAAAGGCAGGCAATGGCACAGTTCTCGATGGGAACACCATGACAAAATCAGGGAAAAAAGTCAAGCAAATAAGTATCTGTTCTCTGGTATGAAATATGTGATTCAAACAGCCACTGAATCCAAGTTATATTTTTTCTCAGCTAACTCGGTATTGGTAGGAATCAGTTCAAATATTGCCTCCCTGCTGAAGCAAGGGGCTAAGTCTCAGCATCAGAAGCTCTCTGCAGCCACCGCCGCACGAGTTCAATCCCTGGCCAGGGAGGTGACTCACACGGCACCGCAGAACTTTTCCTTCTTGCCCACTGCTCCCCTCAGCAGTGTATTTCAGTAGAGCTGTTCTGCTCCCCACTCTGGCGGGGGAGAATCCTCTCACCCACCTCCCAGGCCCCTCCTATACCCCAGCTCTTACAAGTCCAAGGTAGCAGGGAGGAGACAGAAGTTGCTATGCCATGAGTCACCTCCCTGGCTGGGAGCCGCCACTTGTGCTTTAACGGCTGCAGAGAGCTTCACAGTGCTGTGTCTTGACCCCATGCGCCACTAGGGAGGTCCCACATGCCCAGATTTAAGAGTTTAGAGCTAGTGCGTACAAACATAGATTTGTATAATATGGTATGTCTCGGGGAGAGGTTGTTTTAAAAATAGTCTTCCTTACTCAGAAATTTCCCTCGACTTCCACCACGTGGTCTCCAAAATGAAGAACAATTAAAGCAAAGTAAAAAAAAAAAAAAAAAAGAAAAGAAAAACTATAACTAGTAAATGAAAGTGAACACAATTCTAAACTGGTTGCTGTAA